ACATCCATTAGAGTCTTGACCTAAAAAATTTTAAACACGATATTCCCTTCGTTGCAACCTAAGATGAACGTTACTCGAGCTTCACAATCCTTCGTTTGTCTCCATAAGGTAGGAGATATTGGATTTCGTCTATGATATCTTCGAGGGGGAATTCGGTGAGCTTAAACGTCCTCGCGGGTGTAGACCCGCCGGAGTATGAGACATTTGCGACATACTAGTGAATGTTTATTTGCGACATTTGAGACATATTGAGTTTGTGTGAAATATATCCCAAGAACAAATAAATTTATAGAAGACCTAGTTGAATATGGACCACTCATTAATTGTTGTATTGATTTCGGAGATATAACTCAGGATTTGCACCCTATAATCTTGTTCCGGAGATGCATCTCCGGAACTTTCTCTGAACCATTTCCAAAACAAAACCATATAACATAAAATAATATTAAGACCAGATATGAACAAAATATTCATAAAGACCAAATATGAATAAAAAGTAAATATGTAACCGTTCATTTATATTGAGATACAAATATATACAATTATTTGTTCAATTAAACAAGAAATCAAAACAAATTGAAATAAGTGTCGCTGACTAAATCTATAGGTGGTACCCCTTTGGACTTTTGTGCATTCTATTCTTTTTCAATATTGTTCAATCTCTCGAATTCTCGCATCCTTTCCATGAAATGATTCGGACACGTCTCAGCTTTTGCAGTAGAATGAGTCGCCCACTTCAGTGGTGTAAGTGGTATGGGAAACCCCAGTTTCAAGTAAAATTGAACAAAATGACTTGATTTTAAAAGCCACCCAATACACGTGATACAATCATTTGGATTTTGGAGTGGTACGGTGCGTAGTGGGAAATAGGTTTTTGAAAAACCGTAGAATGTTAGGTCAATTCACACCTTATTATATGCACATGTTATTAGGTGACCCATTTCCGGGAAGCTCATCCATTTTGACTCTGTTGCCGGACCGCTCAAGTAAGAAACAAGCGACTCAAAAACCACATCGATTTTTTTTCGTTCAACCGCGTATACGATTCTTTATGCGTCTTTAACTTTTTAATAAGTTGATGTCGGAAAAACGCATGACTATCTTCTCCTTTATCAGGTAAAGCCAAAATGACTCGATAACCACAATTTCCATCCCCCATAATATCGACGATTCACTCGATATTTTTGTGCATAAAAACCGGTATCTCATCGATGAATAAAATCTTTGGTGGAAGCGTCGTCGTATGTGTTTTACTAATGCGGACTCCTTCCACAACACTCTTTAGAGATTTTGGAGTCAGTGAGTCGGGGAAAACTTTGTCTAAGTGTTTAAAATATGAAGGAGGTCGTGTAGTCGAGCTGTCATTCAATGTAGGCTTCATTTTCTTTGGAGCATCTTTTGTTTTTATTGGTTGAGAAAGCGGTTTCACGTTGGTGGTTTCGAAACAGGAAATATTCCTCAATTGTTCTTTGATGTGGAGCTTCATGATGTCATTGGCCTTCAAAAATCTCTCTTGTATCGCTTCTCATTCAGTCAAAATAGAGATATTCGATTTTCCGTCATCCATGTATCCATCATCTTCGAACCTAAGTCTCTTCCAATGAGAGCAAACCTTGTCCATTCTTATTGGTTCACCAAGTTTCACCTTTTTAGCAAGAGTACAAGCACACGAGAAACCATATGTTTTCACAATAGAGAAACCATTTGTGTTATCGGAGCCTACATTATCAGCTCGTTTAGCCTCAAAAAAAATATAGTTCAAACCCGCCCGAGAAATGTTACCGACTAACTGAGAATATAAAGTGTTGTCTTTAAATTAGTGTTCTGAAACCGTGACGCTCCGACCAAATGTTGTTTGTATCTCATTATGTTGGTTCTGAATCATGTGGTTCACGAAGTTCCAGTCTCGACACAAATCCCCTTTGCTATTTCCTAACCAATTTTTCAAAGTATCATGGGTCGACTTAACTATGTTAGTAGTTGTATTTTCAAGGTGTCTAACATTATCAGTTCACGCGCAAACTATCTTCTCTTTCACCTGATCAAGAATTGTGCTTTCAACATATTTCAACAAGGCAGGATACTTTTCACACACTTTCTGGAAATGAATAACAGAATCGACATATAATTCTTTTGTGGAAGAATTTATTATATTATTTTTTCCCACAATCACACTTGTCTTCACCAATTTTCCACCTTCAGACTCTATTGGTTTCATTCCTACTGCGGGTTTTACCCGACTTTTCACATTATTTGTTATGTGATACTTGCAAAGTAATGCATAAGAAGAACGAAATACCTTAGTAACCAATTTCATCAATGAGGTATCGCGGTCGATAACTGTCATTTTAGGCATCTCACTTTGATCCTTCAAAAGTGAATGACACACCTCTAATGCCCAAGTAAAATTGTCCTTTTTTTCACACTCAAGAAATGCAAAACCAACAAAATATGTTTTCTCAATTGAGATAACATCAACCATATCAAATTATGGAAGTCTATACTTATTAGTCTTGTAGGTAAATGAAATATGAGCACTGTCGGAAACGTGTTGAACAACTTTACCGAATCAGAATGAGTCCAAAAAAATATCTCTAACTATAACTCCATCATCGCACATTTTGTATCGGGACATGTAACTGTTATTGTCCAACAATTTCAATAATTGTTGCATCTCAGTTCTATTCCCCCTAATCGACATGTTAGTAAGATACCGAATGTTATACACTTGCTTGATATTTGCTATATTGTCGGATTGCTTCCGTTTCAATGTTGCAAATATATTTTTCGATTGAACAAGATTCAAGGTCATGTCACTAAAACATTTCTTCTCTTCCGGCTTGAGCCGACATACACTAGGATGACCGGTTAATTTTAAACACAAATCATAGTTATGCAAACCACATATCACATTAAATCTCCAATTTTTGTTTGCCAACATGTAACCGCGGATCTTAAATGGACACTCACATTTTCTACTATCCGTGTCGTCTCTTTTAAGATTCTAGAGAGATGTTCGATATCTCCCGCTTCTTTCGCACAACATTGTCACAAAGGCTCGTCTTCTATCTGAGCCATTATCGGACCTTCCAATTACCATATCAAATCTAAGTATAGATTCCTCCATGTGAATCCATTCAAGCATTTTACCACAATTTTCAAACTCTTGCTTGTTATTAAATTGGTTACCAACATCTACCACCTTCGCAACAACCCCTTGGACATTCGGAAAAAAATCGCTCAAAGAAACTATTTGTTTTGCGAAAACGTTGGAGTGCACCATATCTATTGAAAATAGTTAAAACAATAACAGAACATTAATTAATCTACTGTTGCAGAATAGGCTAGAAATTAAACACAAACACATTATGGAAATATATCTCTCGGGACAAGTTCATACACATCTCGGAGATATATTTTCGGATACAGCGTAACTTTTCAGAGAAAATCCATGATTAATGTGAGCAATGTAGAGGAAAAGAAGAATCTTTACCTAAAATTTTATCTTATTTTGCTCTCTATGATATGTTCAACCAAAAGGATGGAGATTTAAAGTGAAAAATGGATTGAGAAAGAAGGGTTTTTAGAGTGAGGGTTTATGTTAAGAATGAAGTATGACAACAATGGAAGACTGATCATATAGCTACAAGCTATATCAGATATTTTCGGAGATGCATCTCCAAAGATATCAAAGGTGACATAAACATTCAAATTGTCGCTCACAATTTCGAAAATGCGTCTTTGGAATATCCACAAAACTGTACAGTAAAAATGTTATCTTAAAATTATTTTGGAGATATATCTCTGAAATAAAACTAAACCAATTGTATGGGCGTATCTTAGAAAGGTCTTGGTTGCATATGTATAAGGTGCGTTCGAAGGTATATTTTTAAAAACGAAAAACATAAATAAAAATTCACATGGTGTGCTAGAACTTTATACGTTGCAATAGAAAATTACCTCTATTTATTATTCTTTAGTATCTATGAGTTTTAGTTGAGTATAGTTGTAAAAATTAATTTAAAATAAAATAAAATAAAAAATGATGACATATTGAATATGTATCAAAGTGTTAATTCTTTATGTTAGTATTCCCTCATTAATATTTGACTTAAGTAGACAACTTAAAGCCAGAATGCAAATGCAAGAATGAATCACAACCATTTATTATTACTTCATGTTCAAATTAAATTTAAAATCAATTTATTATTACTTCATGTTCAAATTAAATTTAAAATCAATTTAAAATAGTAACATGTGTACATTCTTACATTTCTAATTCAAATTGATTTTTACTAAATAGCATTACTCTTGCCATAAATTTTAAAATGACATGTGTGCATTCTTACCTTTTTCTTTTTCTTCTTCAAATTGTTTTTAAATAAATAGCATTACTCTACCCATTCGGCAATCTTTTTTTTTATCGTTTTAATTGACAAGTTGTAACCAAATCTTACAATTTCAGTGCAAAATTACATTATATTAACTTGATACAAGATTTTCAAATTTTGCAATTGAAAAATATTTTGGTATAGTGAATCAACTTCAACTGAATTTTGTTAAGTGAAGAATGGTTTACTAGAAATGCTTCTTTTAAAGGCTTCTTTTCCAAGTGTTTCGAATACTAAATACATAAATCGCTAAGAACTGTAATTAAAATTTTAGTGTAGTATTCTCCACTAAACTCAATTACAGTTAGTGAAATATGATATATTCTATTCTATCTCTTTTTATGCCGGGAAGTGCAGAAAGTAGTGCAGCTGGCTTAATATGGTTATCTCTTCAAATAGACATCTTAGTGTAAAACCAGTAAAGGTCTATCAAATCAAGTAACAACACACGCATGGTTTAAGCTACCATTTCAAAAGAAAAATTTTGTTTGACTTGGCAAGGTACGTTGGATGTTACTTTCCAAAATATTTGCCTTTTAAATAATATCTATAAATAACAAGGAGATAAATAATGTTAATAGTACAGGAAAGTTGATAAATAAATGGAAGTCAAGGCCATTGTAAATGTCTCACTCCATCCTCACTCAAGTTCCAAGCTCCTTCTGCTATCTCATGATACAACTGATTCCATTCCCAATTTGAGTACCCGAAGAAAAACCAGCAACCGTCAACGGATTGATTTTCTGATTTCAGCTCCTCGATTTTACTAATTGTCGCTAGGTGATCAAGGAAGTAAACTCCAGGTAGGATTTCGGGTAAATTGTTTCCAGAAACTATTCTAGTTAAGGATAATAGAGGCATTCCGGTTTTCACAACTGGACCCCCAAAGGACAAAGGAGCCTCTTTCAATGTTTCAAAGTCTTCTTTCAATTTAGGCAGAAAACTCCAGTTTAGATGCTTGTTAATGATAAGACCTTGAAATCCAGCTATTTGATTGGCTGCCACAATGAGAATCTTGGATCCATCAAATGGTTGAACCCCCAAAAGCTTTTCTGTGGCAATTAGCACAGAACCGACCACCACGTGAGGCAATGTTTCAACCCGTTCATTTGATACTGGTAAATTTATCATGTTAGGTTCTACAGCCTGATTCAGTACTCTATCAGGACCTGGGACTCCACGATTTTTTGTCCGCATATGAAGTGATTCCTCATGAACATCAGTTTGCAAAGTGCCATGTAAGTTTTGATTCTTGACTACTCTTTCAGACAGCCACAGAACTGCTATGGGAATCATGACAGAATTTAAACTAACTATTAATGTTTAGGTTTGACAAAACAGAAAACAGGAAATTAGAAGGTAATGTGCTATAAAAGCATAAGTCAAATTAGGATACACTAACTATGAGTCTATGACTCCACCAGTAAAGTCCCATTGAAGTCCGTGTGGAGCCTACTGTAGGTGGATACCGAGAATAAAAAGGGTTGAGAAACAAGGATGAGGGGGTAATGATAAATGTTTGATCCAAGTTTGACATCAATAAAAACGATTATATTCCGATACATACATAGAAAATTGGTATATCACAATGAATGTTTACCTTTATCTCTGATAAGATCATGAAAGTTACTTCCATGCTCAGCTATAAACTTCATAACATCAATTACAGCCACATCTCCTCCATAAAGAAGAGGTTCCTTTTTCTCTGCTGGAAATAGAACCAGTGCAGGATAAACCTCCTTCTGCATATTTAACATGCACCTAACATTATTGATTATTACTAGAGATCATAAACAAATGCCTATAATGTTCAACACTTCAAGCTGCATAAAATTTCAAATATACAGGCTAGACTACTTGCATTCAATTATACATACTTCAAATAAATCATAGATGAAACTCATCATATTTCCTCATGATATTTGTTGATAACAAGAATATTGAATTTTAAAAATGTTTAAAGTCCCTCTATTCTTTTGCAATGCGACTAAATTATACCTGTCTTAATTCAAAAATAGCTTTTGGCTCCAAAAATAGCCTGAACAAATTTAAAGTTTTTTTGGCTTAAACCACAAAAGTCATTTTAGTCCAATATTCTAAAAAATATGGCTAAAACCAAGAGTTGTTTGATGATTTGTCGCTACTCAGTAGACATTATTTTATGATAAGACATTAAAAAACAGTTCGATCCATGTAATTAAAATAAATAGGAGACACGACATTGAGGCCTGGAAAACATAAATCCACAAGTACCTGATTGACAGACTTCAGTATCAGATGGCAATCATTCAATGTACAATCCAATAGGTAGATTGTCGGAATCTTCATCAAAACATAATCAAAATTTTCTGCCATGAAGCAATCAGTTGTCCAGATGTTACTTATCTACCATTTCATCAGAAAACTCACCAAAAAAAACAAAACAAAACAATTCAAATAACGACATCCAACATCAATCAATCAAACCCATCAAATAGGACAACATTGTCATTAATGAAAAGATCAACGGTGCAGAGTCAAACTCATTTACAAATTCCAAGTATAAACCGGCATTTCAAATTCAAGTTAAAATCAATTTGATGGTGAATTGCAAAATTGCAAATGACAGGAAGTTAGGAACTATGTGCATAATAAAAACATGAAAAGCCTATTGCCTAAATAGAAGTCATTGAACAGCTTACTAAATACTCACATTTTAGCAAAAACATGCTAAAATAAATAAGCTAAACATTAAGCAGTTAAAATATAGGGTGGAAATGACAGACACACACACACGAAGAGTCTAAATTCTCACCGTGATCAGTAACGTTCTGAGATCCCCTTTTTAACGTATCGACATAGCCCTTAATGGTCCGATATACTTCACGAACAATCAAATCCATTCTCTGGCAGAATGCACACCAACTATTGCTAAACAAGACCAAAACATCTTTGTTCCATGCATTTGAAGTGTTCTCTTTGTTAGAAAGATTGAAACCAATAACAAGTTCAGAGAAAGTATTTGCTGTGATTCGAGGTATAGAATCCACTTCATGAAAATCCAAATTAACAAATGGAGGATGCCTGGCCTCCCTTTGGCCTTGAAGAACGTCTTCTGACAGCTGATATGGAAGCAAAGTTCCACTAAGAAACTCGGAAAGAAAACCATGCAGTGAAGCTAAGTTGAAACTTTTCTCTTCAGGGTAAACATAATGTTGCTGCCAAAAGGGGTCAACTATGACCATAGATGGAATTCTATAAGCACCAGTGAGCCTTTCAAGCAACTGATAATTACCATCAGAATAGAAAAAGGAACCATTAAAACCAAGAAAATCATCATGTTCTTCTGCATACTTGTTTCCATCAAAAGAACCATCCCCGGGGCTATTTATTTCCGATTGAATAATTTTGGCACTGGGAAGTTTGTGATCTTCAATAGATTCTTCAGAGTGCACACCTTTTATCTCTTCACTGGTGACAATAGAAGATTTCTTGACTTCATCATGCTGAGAAGATAGCACGACCAATTTAGGATTTTCCCCAGCAGATTTATATGGATAGCCGTCTGTAATTACAGTACCTGTATGATCTTCTTGAGAAGTTTCTGCTGAAATTTGATTTGATTGAACTTCGGAATGCAATTGTTGTTGTGTATTGGCTGAACTGATGTCAATATCCTCAGATAAAAGTTGGAAACCTAAACCCTTGGCTAGAGAGCTTAGTTTTCCATCTTTCTTTTGCTGGACAATGTAACCCAATAACTCATTCAAAGAACTCACTTGTAGATCAGACACTACATTATCCACACTAACTTGCTTACCCTCGTTAATAATTGTAATGGAAGATATCTTGTTGTTTAGTTTAATATTCTGAGCTTTCATCAATAAATTTGACCTAAGAAGATCAGATGTGCTCTTTGTGCCACGATAATTTCGGATTAAAACTTTCTTGTGATTATCATTATTCCTATCCATTTGATTCACAGGATAGTGTTGTGCCAATACTCTAAGAGCTTTAAGAGCTTCCAAACTTTTTCCCCTAGTTTCTGAGGAGGACGATGATCTATCAACAAATAGAAGTACCGATGGCTTATTTGCTGGTATGGTGGCTTCTTGATCATGTCCATTACCTTCCAACTAAATGAAAACAAATAAAACAGTGTAGGTCTCAGCAAATGATTAGTTTACCGAAAGAAGCATGAATACTTGCATGTTGGTGTGTATATCTTCATCAGTTAAATAAACTAGTCTACAACAATACCATGGAAATTGCAATGTAATAGCATTCATGTATCTTCACCTAACAACTTGAGCTTTCAGGATAGTTAACTCGTGACGAGTACAGTCAAAGATGGACTTGGAGATGGGATAAGGGAGCAATGAAATATAACATCTTGACATACACCACAAAACATCTAACAATAGTTAGCAAAACATGTAACAATAATTAGAAAGGTTTTATTCACCTCTTTGACAAAATAATTATTTCTCTGCAAAACATAGTTCAAGTCATCCTCTTCTTTAAGAATATGTGAACAACTTGAACATCCAGCTAGGTAGTGAACTGCAAACCATGATCCGGAATCACCAACACCTAAGGATGAAAGCATCGCCCTATCTGAAACCAGACCAAATCTACGTCGTTCAGGAGGCAGAAAGAATTCTTTCACAGCATTCATGAACTTCTGATAGAAAGAATGGAAACGCTCAAATTCCTCATATGAACAAGAGTGAAGATTATGAGTATTCGGATCCTTGAAGCCCCCCAAATGGCCATCATTTACCGAGATAAAATCCCCAAGCCAAGGAACTTCACAAAACCCTTTATTGATGTTGTGTTCAACCTTGCACATGGCCTCCTCTGATTATGAAGGAAAAAAGAAAATGAAAACAAACAGGAAGGAAATTATGTATTTATCATTTAAACTCAATCTTAGATAATACCAGCAACCTTCTGGTTAGTCTTCCCCCTTGAAAACAGTACTCTGTCATTCTCTCCACTAAAACCCATTCCAAGGTGAAGCCCTGCAAAAAAAATCCCCACACAGATAGTGACTCGTCTTCTAACGAGTGTCATTGCCAATAACTCATTCCAAGTAACATATACACACACATAAAAGCTTTCAAGAAAGAGATGACAAGCTTATGTAAATATTGAAATGAAAAAAACAAATTAGTAATACTACCTAAACAAACTATTTCTAAGTGCTTATCATAATGAAATTATGTCATGAGTCTTGAAACTCGGTAAGATATTTACAGTTGTATATACAAATTGAAAAGCTATCTGCGTTATTTTCCTTACAAAAAAAAACTTTGGGTGGATTGCAAATCCATTAGGAAAGGAATAAGTTACGCATAAGCATGTTCATATTAAGTTAATGATCATTATCAATCTTGAGAAACTTACAAAAAAAAAGCTAGAAACAACTCGCAAAACATATCCATAGAGCTATTTTTATAAACTTTACAATTATAACTATTTTCAGATAAGCTACGGATTGTTTTCACAAGATATCATAGAAAACTTAAGGAAATAAGCTGAAAACGGATTATGGACAATGTCATAAGTTGTTTCCATAAGTCAATCCAAACAGGCTAGTATTATTGTTATGAAAATAAACTCAAAAAAAATCTATTGCAAATGCCCCAGGATCAAATGTTAGGTAAACATCAACTTCATGGAGGTTAGTTACAATCACAATCACAAGTCACATATAAGCTACTAATAACCAAAATGTAAGACTCACCAATAGTACCATGTTGTGTTCCATTGAATTTCTTACTCCTAGCTATCAACTTCGGCGTCCATCCACAAAAATCAACAAGAACAATAGTTGCATCGGCCGAATCCACAAACGTTGCGAAATCCCTCGGACTATCAAGCACTTTGAAAGGAACCTCCTGAGGCGCAACGGAAACATAATGATGAAACGAAGACAAAATACTCTTCGCTGAAAGTCTTCCTGTATACTTATAAGCCACAGAATAATGAAAATAAACCACAGTTATCATTCCATCCACGTTAACACCGATTGAATCCATCATCGTTTTCTCTTTATTGACATGCGTAAACATTAGTTTAAGATCGTGAAATTCTTGAGGCTTGTTGGAGATTTCAAGCGAGATATCGTTCATTAGGGAACGGGATTCACCAGACCCTGCAAAAGAGTTAAGGATTAAAAATATGATGAGATTGCGATGAAATGAAAGGGAGATTGAGGGATTGAGTACAGGGGAGAGTGAGGAGGAGGAGGATGTGTGGATGGTGGTGGATCTGAGAAGTGAAGTTGTGGTTTGTGAGGATCTGCCATGATGAAGAGGGGACGAAGAAGAGAGATAGTGTTGATGTTGCTAGTGCTATTGCTATCACCGCCGTCGATAAAGGGACGGGAGTCTTCATCGTTGCTGACTGATGCTTCACCGACAGAGTGTTTCGCAACATGCAAGCACGCCAATGCCCTTTTCCGGGCTATGCTGGATTTCTGCAAAGCTTTTTTTTTTATTTTCTTTTATAAATAGTCAATTTATTCCTGATATAAAAAATTAAATTACATACAATTACGGAAACTTAAGTAATAGAGTACAATTATTAACGAAATTGATTCATTCTAAATTATAAAAAATAAAAATAAAAAAAAAATTAATGTTAATGTAGAATTTAATGATTTAAAATTTAAATGAGAAGCAATAATTACATCAATAATTTATAACATATATAAAAGTAAAAAATAGTAGTTTGGTGTAGCCTATTTCTCTATTAATTTTATCCTTACTTTAATTTATAAATTACTCAATAATTTCTATTAACTTCTTACATAACTTCCTACCTAACTTCCTACTATTAACTTTCTATTTAACTTCTATTTAAAATTAATATTTGATCTGACCTGATCAGAAGGAGATCACGGGCTGGCCACACGCTGTTGGACTGCTACCTGTTCACCGGTGATGAGGAGGAAAAAGGGGAGTGTACCTGCAAGACACTCTGATGCCAAAGTAAGGAATTGGACAGAGTGAGAGCAAAGTACAGAAAAGGGGTAAGAAGTGAATTATCTGACCCTCTTGAGGAATAGGGTATTTATAGAGAGACCCCAGCGCTGGGCCAACGGTCACTTGAGTTGGGTTGGATGGCCAGGCCCAACCCAGGTGACTGTTAGGGCTTACATGGCATAGTGAAGACTAGGGCGTGGTCTTCGCCCTAGTCCAACTGTCCCGTGGTCTCCGAAAAGTGGTTTGACCTGCTCTTTCGGAGGCGGGCAGTTGGGGGATGACGTGTCCCCGCGGAGGGGAGCACGTGGAGAACGTGCGCATGACACGTTGTTCTCCCCGTGGAGGATAGCACCCGAGGGCGGGGGAGACGTATCGTCCTGCTCGTTGGTATAGGGATTCTGCCCGTTGAGGGCTGCTCTACCCGACTAGGGAAGAGCGCCGAGGGTGTTTGGAAGCACGCTGTCCTGTTCGGCGGGAGCATGCCCTGCCCGTCGAGGGGGTCGCGTGCCCGGCCAGCCTACTCAAATCATATTGGGCTTTGGTTGTGTGTTATTGGGTTGGGCCGCGAGGTGAGGTCAGGCCCAGGCCAGAACAGGAGCCCCCCAAGTCGAAGCTCTTCGGCGGGAGAGCGAGGACTTGAGATCGTTGTTTCGGGGAAGGAGATAGCGAGGTATGAGGCCCGCAGGCTTGTGTTCGACGAAGCGCGCGTGCGTGAGGGTCTCTTCATGTCGCCGGGTGCGTGGGGCGGAGGCATTTGAAAGGGCGTGACTGTCAGCCTGCCGCCACGTGTCATGCGCCGAGTGGATGTGAGGGCAGCTACCCTAGGGCACTTAAAGGCCTAGTGTCGCTTCGAGTTCTGCGCCGGGTTATAAATATGGGGGTCCCCGTGCACTTTTTACTTTTCACCTTGCTTTTTCACCTGCGAAGCTCTGTAATTCATCCCCGTCCGCTGTTGTTGTGAATCGTCGTCGCGCCGTTAGTTTCGCATCTCGTCTCTCGTCGTCTATAAAGTGAGTTTTCTTCTTTTCTTCTTTTATCTCCGTCGTTTAATTTAGGTTGGTAGTCGGGGCATGATGAATGCCCCGAGGAGAGATGCGAGTTTCCGCCGTATCTGGTGGATTTTAGGGTTGTTTAGATGAATGCCCCGGGGAGGATCGATTGTTCCGATGAATACCCCGGGGATGGGTGCTCCCTTTGATGAAGCCCTCGGGGAGGGGCGATAGGTTAGCTTTGAACGCCTCGAGGAATAGTGGCGAGGAATGCCCCTCGGGACCTGCCCGGGCGTTCGTCTTTCGTTCGTGTGCCCGCTGTCGTCGCCCTTTCACTTAACCTGCGGTGGAAGGGTGGATTTGATCTTGGCTATCGAATTCACCATTATCCTCTGCTTTTCATGTGTTCATGTCGGCCTTGATACCGGGGACGATGGTCGAAGACAACGAGCCCGAAGTCCCAGATTTTGACAAGAGGGTTCTCCCCGTCGAGGAGTGGGTGGCCGAAGAGCCCCTATCCACCCTTTCTTGCTTCACGCTCGATGTGTCCGGTGCCTATGCCACTGTGGAGGACCGGGAGGAGGGGGATCCACAGGATTGGCAGGTGTACCGTCCCAAAGAACATCATCACATCTGCTCGAGCTATGGGCAGCGGACGTTCCCTATGCACGAGTTCTATTTTAAAGAGGCCCGACTCAAACTGCCCTTCTCCGATTTTCACTTAGGCCTTTTCGACTGGTTGCGTCTGGCTCCGTCCCAGCTGCATCCCAACGCGCTGGCTTTTATCCGTGCGTTCGAGCTGGTGTGCAGCTTTCTCCAGGTCGAAGCCACGGTGCCTTTATTTTTCCGCATTTTTCATCTGCAACGGCAGGCGGTGAACGGCCGACAGGGTTGGGTCTCGTTCAAACAGCCGACCACGCTCTTTAAGACGTATAGCGACTCTGTCCGGGATTTCAAGAGTCGATTCTTCCTCGTGAGGCCGATCACACGGGATGGGTCGGACTCTCTTTTCGCCGAGGGGAAGCGAGTGGTGGACGGCCAGCGGTTTGTCGCGTGGCTCCCGAAGGTGCATTTGCTGTGGACCCCAGAGCATTTTAACCGGGGGACCGACCGTTTCAAAGTGCGGGCTGGTGTAACACCCCGTTTCCCAAAATAAAATAAAACGATTAAAATAAGCACATATGAGAGTTTCTCCCACTTACGGGATGTCACAATTTTTCCACAAGATTCCACATAACATTTCTCAAAATCATTTTCAGTAATATTGCAGCGGAAAAATAAAATTAGTCTACCATAAACCACATAACATGTATATATACATCATCAAATATACAAAAATCGGCCATCTGCCCAATATATATATATATATATATATATATATATATATATATATATATATATATATATATATATATATATATATATATATATATATATATATATATATATATATATATATATATATATATATATATATATATATATATATATATATATATATATATATATATATATATATATATATATATATATATATATATATATATATATATATATATATATATCATCACACATCCCACAAAAGAACAGATACGCCACAGGGGGCATACATAAACAACAAATGACAACAAACTCCCAAAAGCCCTGGTGTTACGTATCAGAGCATGTCCTACAACGACGCCACAATCCAAGCTAGCTAAACACCTGAATTATCTGTACTTCCGAAGAAGCACAGACCACAACAACAAGAAAGGGGTGAGATTCACGATCAAATATTAATGGTATAAACATACATAAAATAAAAGGCAGAAAGCAATAAATCATTTATTCCATATACCACATATTCGGACCTACTGTCTTATCATCAACAATCACAACACATACATAACTCACTATGCAACACATGCACTGGACTCCACAAAATGCGGTACCGACTCAACTCAGGATAGATCGCATGCACTCCCTCTGGGCAACGATCTATCCCTACCACGCTCCTCATGAGCTCATATAATCACATATCAACGTCCCCCACTTGGGACACAGGTGATCGCATACACTCCTTCCGAGCAACGATTCAAATTCCCATCCACGCTCCCCACTAGAGCACGCGAGTAACTCATACACCGCATCCACACTCCCCACTTGGAGCACGTGAGTAAATCATACCTCACGTCCACACGCTCCCTATTTGGAGCACGTGAGCCACACAGGCCTCACGTCCACACGCTCCCTATTTGGAGCACGTGAGTGAATCACATACGTTCCACCGAGCATGATTCACCACGTCCACATATGCATAACCACACGGCACACACAATGCACACGATCCTACGAATCCATTCATCATAATATGCATACATACACAAGCACACAAAGTGCATCGATCCTACCGATCAACTCACTACACAACATATCACACATCGTGCACCTAAGGCATATCGGTCTTACTGACCCACTCCATCACACAACAGTATTTAACCACAACGCCTATAAAGCGTATCGATCCTCCCGGATCCACTCCCACAACACACCAACAAAACGCACTCAAGGCGCCACGATCATACTGATCCTCACATCTTACTCACAACACGCATACGGTGCACATATCTCACGTATGCATCCACACATATTCATTCCCAGTCGAAGGATACATAGCCACTTTAGGTATCACAACGTACTTCAGTTCAATCGTTCGTATCAACGAGTATTCAAGCACACGCCCTCTACATCACCTTCACGCTCTCAACCGATCCACAATAACCACGTACTCGCTCACGACCAACAAAGGTCCAACCACGCGAGAACGGAACAGCACAGCAGAAAAATCACAAAATGTTGTCATGTTCGATGCCATTCGCCTGGCGAAGTCCCGCAGCAAACACTCGCTGGGACTCGCCCGGCGAAACCCCTAGTGAAGCCAAACAGAAGCAAAAGGCAGCATTCGCTGCCCAGTTCTCCTGGCGAAGGCTCGCCCCCATTTGCCCAACGAAGGCACGCGAATTCTGTAGAAAACAGCTCTCAGCTCAGAGTCGGCAACGCACTCCGAGCCCAGCCAATTCTATTCCAAGCCAAACCCCAACATACCAGAAAATCGTTCCACTACCCGACTATAACATCCAACTCAGTTCTGCTCGGTAACGCTTACATCTATGCAATTACCAACTTCTGGTATAACTTCGAATTCACCCAGAAACCCCCAAATTCCCTCAATCAACACATGCAACAAAGTCAAACATCATAAACGCAACCATTGTAGAATCATAAACACAAACTCAACATCACATTAACATCAACTATGGGGATTAGGGATTTTCCCCTTTTCTACCAATTTCATGCATAACCAATTCGATCGATTAATCCCCCCCCCCCTTACCTCGAAATGCAGATTGATGATGATGAAGCTTCACGATTTCACCGCCTTGATGATTTCCTCAAGCTTGTTGAACCGTGCTCTTCCCTTTCTTGATCGTTCTTCCTCTCTTGTTCTTCTTCCACGCGTGTTTCTTTCTCTCTTCCAATTCTATTTTCCACACAATGCCAATAATGCCCTTAGTTCCAAATAATTCCTCATTTTCTTTATATTTCCAAATAATATTAATAATCTCATAATATTAATATTATTAATAATAATAATAATACTAATATCGACATTAATATTAATTATTAATTATTATCATTATCGATTATCAAATATTAATATTATGCCTCTAATTCTTCTTCAATTCCCACACCAAATACGCTGACGAATAAAAATAACACCGGAACTAAAAATAATTAAAATGGGCGTTATAACTCTCCCCCACTTTAATTATTTTCGTCCCCGAAAATACCTGATGGAAACAGCTCTGGATACGCGTCCCGCATCCTGCTATCCAGTTCCCAGGTCACACTGCCTCCCGCAGCACCTCCCCGAGCCACTCTCACCCAAGGTATCTCTTTCCCTCTGAGTCGCTTCAGCTTGTGATCCTCGATCCTCAATGGTAACGTCTTCACAGTCAGATTCTCTCTAACTTGGACTTCATCCCTCTGAATCACATGAGACGGATCAGGTACATACTTCCAAAGTTGCGACACATGGAACACGTCATGCAAGTTTGAAAGCTCCAGCGGCAACGCCACCCTATAAGCCACAACACCAATCCTCTGCAAAATCTGATACGGCCCGATAAACTTCGGATCCAACTTCTTGGACTTCAATGCACGTCCAACACCCGTCATTGGGTTAACCCTCAAAAATACATGGTCACCCTCACTGAACTCCAACTCTTTCCTGCGGTTATCATAATAACTCTTCTGCCGATCCTGAGATGCCTTCATCTTCTCATGGATCATCTATACTGTCTCAGTAGTCTGCTGCACCAACTCTGGTCCCAACACCACATTCTCCCCTGACTCATACCAGCATAAAGGAGTTCTGCACCTCCTACCATAAAGAGCTTCAAACGGTGTCATCCCGATACTGGAATGGTAACTGTTGTTGTACGTGAACTCGACCAATGGCAAATGAGTATCCCACGTACCACCTTTCTCTAACACACAAGCCCGCAACAAGTCCTCTAAAGTCTAAATAGTCCTCTCCGACTGCCCATTCGTCTGCGGATGATAAGTTGAACTCAGCTTCAACTCAGTGCCCAAAGCCTCTTCCAAACTCTTCCAAAATACAGAAGTGAACCTCGGATCTCTATCCGACACAATACTCAACGGCACACCATGCAACTTCACAATTACCCGAATGTAGATCTCTGCTAGCTTCTCCAACGGAAAACTGATACTAATTGGCACAAAGTGTGCAGACTTAGTAAGTTGATCCACAATCACCCAAATTGCATCAAATCCTCTCGCCGTATTCGGCAAACCGGTAACAAAATCCATGGCGATACAGTCCCACTTCCAAACCAGAATCTCTAACGGTTGCATCATCCCAGAAGGTCTCTGATGCTCCACCTTTGATTTCTGACATACCAAACAAGCATACACATAACGAGCAATGTCCTTCTTCATGCTCGACCACCAAAACAACTTTTTCAAATCCTGATACATCTTCGTAGCTCCTGGATGAACACTCAGGCTACTACGATGCCCTTCGTCCAAAATCGACTTCCTCAGCTCATCATTATCCGACACACAAATTCTGCCCCGAAACCTCAACACACCCGCATTATCCAACTTGAAATCACTACCGGAGTCGCTTCCGGCCTCACGCATCAAATCCACAAGTTTCACATCCAACTTCTGATGTTCTCTTATCATATCCAAGAAATCATTCTTTACTTGCAATTTACCCAACATTACACCACCTGCAGTAAACTCACAAACCATGCTCAAATCTCGAAACTGCTTAATAAGCTCCATCTCTTTTACCATCAAAGCATGAATTGTCTTCCTGCTCAACGCATCTGCAACAACATTCGCCTTCCCTGGGTGATAACTCAAACTGAAATCATAGTCTTTCAAAAATTCCAACCATCTTCTCTGTCTCATATTCAACTCTTTCTGATCAAACAGGTACTTTAAACTTTTGTGATCACTGAACACCTCGAATCTTGAACCATACAAATAATGTCTCCAGATCTTCAAAACAAAAACCACCGCAGCCAATTCAAGGTCATGAGTAGGATAATTCCGCTCATGTACCCTCAATTGCCGCGACGCATAAGCTACCACTTTTCCATTCTGCATAAGAACTCCGCCCAATCACATCTTGGACGCATCACAATATACCACAAAAGGCTCACACGGATTCGGTAACACCAACACCGGCGCTGAAGTAAATCTCATTTTCAGCTCCTCAAAACTCTCTTCACAAGCAGCATCCCACACAAACACTTGATCTTTCCTCGTCAACTGAGTCAACGACAAAGCCAATCTAGAAAAGCCTTAAATGAATCTTCGGTAATACCCTGCTAAGCCCAAAAAGCTCCTAACTTCTATTACCGTCTTTGGCGGTTCCCACTGTAACACCGCACTCACCTTAGATGGATCCACAGAAACACCATCACCCGAAATAACGTGTCCTAGAAAACTCATTGTCCTCTACCAGAATTCACACTTCGATAACTTGGCAAACAACTTGTTATCCTTCAACACTTGTAAAACAATCCTCAAATGCTCTGCATGCTCTTCCTCAGACTTAGAATAAATCAGTATGTCATCAGTGAACACGACAATAAACTGATCCAAATAAGAATGGAAGATATGGTTCATATATTCCATAAACACACCCGGCGCATTAGACACTCCGAAAGGCATTACTGCATACTCGTAATGTCCATATCGAGTCCTAAACGCCGTCTTCTGAACATCACCTTCTCTCACTCTTATCTGATGATAACCCGACCTCAAGTCAATCTTACTAAACACACGAGCTCCCACCAACTGATCCATCAAATCATCAATCCTTGGAAGAGGATACTTGTTCTTGATGGTCACTTTGTTCAACTGACGGTAATCGATACACAATCGCATGCTACCGTCTTTCTTTTTCACTAACAACACTGGAGCTTCCCACGACGACACACTAGGTCTGATAAACTTCCTGTCCAACAACTCTCTAATCTGAGTCTTCAACTCGGCCAACTCCACTGCTGACATCCTGTACGGCGCCATAGAAATAAGCCTCGTACCAGGTACCAGATCAATGCTAAACTCAACCTCTCTCTTCGGAGGTAACTCTGTAATATCATCCGAGAACACCTCTGGAAACTCATTAACAACGGCTAACTCATCCAACAATGCCTTGTTATCAACAGACAATGTTGCAAATAAAGCAAACACATGCGCTTCATCTTCCAACAATGTTCTCAATTCCTTACCGAACAAGGAATCTGCCAACGCTTCCTCTTCCGGAGTCAAAAATAGTAACACCTTCCGAAAACAATCAATGTACACTCGGTTGAACTCCAACTAGTTCATACCAAGTATAACATCCAAACCACCAAGTGGCAAACAGATCAATTCCACACTGAAGTCTCGGCCAAAGATAGTCAGTGGACACTTCAAACATACTAGTGAAGTAGTCACTGAACCAATCGAGGGAGTTTCAATAGTCATCTGCCGCTCAAGAGTAGTCGGCACCAAACCTAACCTCTTCACACAATCAACAGAGATGAACGAGTGGGTCGTACCCGTATCAATCATAGTGTCATACCCCAAATTTGTCCTACCTTTTTTCAAAATTTTTATTTGCCCAATTTTGTTTTTAATTTACCTCGCTTATACAGCGTAGCGTATTTTTCAGCAAAAACGAGCATTTTTACCTTTTTTAGCCCAATAAGAGCATGCCACATGGCATTTGTTTTTTGTATATATCTATCATTATTTTTTCATAATTTCATTTTTTTTATGATAGGTTAATATAATTTTTTTTTATATATTAATTTTAATTAGCTTTGAATTAGAAATTAGGATTTAAATTAAAAATTTTAATTAGATAGATTTAATTTAGAACTTAGTTATAACTTAGAAATTTCAATTTAAAAAAAAAATAGATTTAAAAAAAATATAGAGTTAGAATTTAATTAGGATTTATATTAAAAATTAGATTAGAGTTTAATTTAGTAATAGTTAATATAATGATTAAAAAATATATATAATAGAGTTAGGAATGATTATTAATTATTATTCAGAAAAATAAATTAAAAGAAAAATTAAAAAAAAAAAAGGGAAAATTGAAATTGATTGAGGACACAGTGGCAATTTGGATTAGGGTTGGATTTTTTTGGGATAAATAGGGTACCCTACACTGTTCACAGGATCCCCAATTCTGAAGGGTAACCCTAGCCGTCAGCCCCAATTACCAAACCCTAAAATCTCTCATCTTCCCCTACCTCCCGCCGTCAAACCCTAACATCACCATTATCTCCCTCCTCCATTTTCGTCCTCCCAACATCTAACCATCCGCCATCTTCCGTTTCTTCACATTTTCGCCGTAACCTCTCACCCTCATCTGGAAAGAGTTGCAGAAAAGGACTCGCAGAACCTCGAGTTTCTTAGCCGTGATTTACTGTTGACTCAAATAACCTCAACACGACAGACCTCTGAGGGAATCAATGCCGGTTTTGACTTGCTTTAAATCTCGGTCTCAGATCGCAAGGTTATGAAGTTACCGTATTTCAAAGATGTGAGTGAAAACACGAATCAGAGGCGCGTATACATAAACCCTCTTTCGCAACCTCACCTCACCACACCATTTACCATCTTCACTCTTATCCCTAATAAAATACCCCACTGACCTAACCCAACCTCTGTCCTAAATCTTGTTTCTTCCAAATTATACCCACACCAGGACAACACGGATTCATATGCCTTTGGAGCATCATCGCATTTGATTCTCCATTAATTATTGGAAGTTCTGGTTTTCTAGTACACTGATGGCTAACCCAAGTAGCAGATCTACACCGACAATGTCCACAGACTCCTTGGAGCAGAAGGGACAAAATATTACTGAATCAAATGCAAGCATAATTCAGTGTCCTTTAAGCCAGCAACACCGTAGCTCTTTAGATGGCCCAGTTTCTATCCTTTGGGATATTGAAAATTGTCCTGTTCCGAGTGATGTACGCCCAGAAGATGTAGCTAGTAATATAAGAATGGCTCTGCAAGTGCATCCGGTAATTAAAGGAGTTGTTATGATGTTTTCTGCTTACGGGGATTTCAACGCTTTCCCCAGGCGACTTAGAGAGGGCTGTCAGAGAACTGGTGTTAAACCCATTGATGTTCCCAATATGAGAAAAGATGCGGCTGACAAAGCGATCTTGGTTGACATGTTCTTGTTTGCTCTTGACAATCCTCCACCGTCCTCTATCGTGCTAATCTCCGGAGATGTTGATTTTGCTCAAGCGCTCCACATTCTTGGTCAACGGGGATACACTGTAATTCTTGTCATCCCTGCTGGGGTTGGTGTTTCATCTGCCCTATGCAATGCTGGTAAATTTGTTTGGGACTGGCCTGTTGTAGCTCGTGGAGAAGGTTTTGTCCCTCCCTCAAAGTTGTTGGCGCAACCACGCAGAAGTTCAGTTGAGCTTGCTGGATATGTGATGGGATGCCATATCAATGATAGCTTGAATGGACAAAATGAAGAGGAAGCAATAGTTTATAGAGGGATGTCACAGAGCTATTATAACTCAAGAGAGTTTTCGCTGGTATCACAATCTCTGTCTGAATATAACCCACTAAACATGTCTTGCTTGCCAACGTCTATGAGATCATACAGCCTTCCAACTGGGTTGAATGATGTTGCTGGAGGACCAATGCCTTCTAGCGACAATACTGATTGCCAGACATGGGTACAACCTGGAGATTTAAATGGTCTCAAGGGTCAGTTAATAAGGTTGCTCGAACTATCTGGCGGATGCCTTCCCCTTGTCCGAGTTCCAGTAGAGTACCAGAAACTTTACGGTACAATAGCAGTTCATCAACAACAACAAAAGCAATATTCCCACTGCATCGTATTTTCTGGCGCCACCGGCACCACTCAGCTTCCCTTCTCGGCAACAAGAAAACCAGATTGCGGTCCTACCTATTCAACATGGCGGTAACATGCAGATCATTTTCTGTGTATTATTGTTTTGTCTGTTGATTTTATTACGATTTTTTTTGTGTTTCTGGTTCGTATTTGGATGTTGTCATAAGTTTGTAGAGTAGTTTGAAAAATTCAATGTTGTTGTGCTCAAATGTGGAAATTTTGCTGAAACTGGACATATTGGGTCCTTTGTGTTGACACTACTATGCCTGTATTTGTGTGTGTTAATCGGTTTGCTACTGTGTCGAGTTAAAGGATTAAAACATTTTAGACACATGTCGAGTTGGTTTATAGTGAGTAATTTGTGGTTGTTGCAGTTTCGCATTGAAAAAGTTCGATGCGTATTTGACTTTCCTGTCATTGCTACTATAGTTTTATTTTCATGTCAAAGATGTGGTTTACTACATCATTATATTGTCATACTGTTATTCGTGTGCATAAAGTTATGTTTTGTTTGCTGCCCGTTCCTGTTTTGGTGACCATTCTGTGCAGATTAAGGGCTAAATCTATTAGGAACTACATCGGTTCGTCGCGTGGGCTACAACGAGTCAACAAAATCCGACAGCAGTATTGAGAAGTTTGAAACACATTCAACATCACGGTTGCGACATTGCCAAGTCTCGTCACACGTCAACTACACAACAATAGCTGAGATTCCCTCAACTTGCAGCAAACATCACAATGTTTGCATCCTCATTTCGGAAAGCTTTGAAATTCCGCGACGAGAAGACGAGTAATGACAACCAGCAACAATAGAGTTTCGACAATTCGGTAGTAATTTTGAGTTTTCATGCATATCTGTCATAATGTTGTTACGTTACTACCTGTTTTTCGATGTTTTGCAGCTATGTTTCCATCACAATGTTGTGCTGATTTGACATGATTTATGTGTCAAGGTGTTAAACTCTTGCTTCAAATTAATTACGATAAACACATTGCGTGCTAGCGACTTGCTGCATATTGAATTGTTGGTTTATGATATCTTATTGTCATTCTTATGTCAGTAATTGTTTAGCAGAGAATATCTTTTGGTGTTGTTGATAAAACATATTTGGTCAATGTTAAGTTCTATTGAATTATGTTATGTTTATGTACTGTGTGGTCAATGTGATGGTTTGTAATTGATATTGCTTCTATTTAGTGCATCACCATTTTGTTTTTTCATCTTTTCGATTTGTTTGAGTTTTGTTTTCTGTTATGATTATGTTTTGTAAGGTTTTATAAATGATTCTGAATGATGAATACTAGACTGCGACAGTTGTTTTTGTTTCGGTCCATGAGTTGCGACATCGTTAATATTAAAGCATGGTTGATGTCGGTTACGCTTTTAGTCGCAACTGCGAGGTTTTTGCTTTGGTTGAAAGCTGAAGGATTTAATACTATGTTCTGCTCTATAGCTTAGGAATGAGGATGTTTCTACTTGCATAAAGTGATACCAATGTACTTTTAAGGATGTGTGTGCTCACGATTTATTAAGTGATTTTCTTTTTTTTTATCTACAGGATCATTATTTGTTCCATTATGAAAAGATATTTTTTCTGTTTTTCTGCAGAGTGTCTCATATGTTTTCCAAAAGTAAATTGGAAATTGGATTTATGCTATGATAGTTAGAATATATAGAAATCAAAGTTATACCAATTAGTATTTCTCAACCCGTTTTTAAAAAAATAATGTTCATTTAATTTAGATTATTTGTCAAACTGTTTTCTTAAATAAATAACGAAAATAGTGAGCTCTTGGAGTCTAGCACTCCTTGAGTCCTTGAACAACTGTTATCGAGGCGCACGCCCTTGAGTTATGGTTGTTCCCTTTTCGATTTTAAAAAAACCGTTTTCACTCAATTCAATTAAAGCTTCTAAAAAATATTTTTAAATCAATTTTATTAATTAGATATTTTTATAATAAGTTCCAATTATTATTCTTTTAAAAGATGTATATTTCAAAATTATTATCAAATAATATTTTGAATATTAGAAAATTACATTTCATTAATTAAGTTAAAATCTTTTTTAGGATATTAAATTTTTTTTCAAAACAATTAAATATGACTAGTTTTTCTCAAATTTTTTATAAACAATTGTTTGATTTATTTTTATATATGAAGATTGAAATTAGTTTTCTTAATTAAATTAAACTATTTTTCAAAATCAAATTTCAAAACAATTAAATTCTTGGATCTCGCCTTCCTTGAATTTTTTTTAAGCGACCGCTCTCGAGGTGCACACCTTGAGTTGTGACCCTTCCGATCTTATTTTCAAGAATACCTAGCGCGCCTAGTCCGAGTATGCTAAATTATTCAAATTATTTTCTAAATCAAATCACAAAAGAATCGAGTTCTTGGAGTCGTGCATTCCTCGAATTTGAGAGTAACTACTATTGAGGCGTACGCCTTGAATGGTGTGTCGTTCGAACTTTCGTTTCTAAAACACTTCCCCTAATTACTTGGACAAGTACTTTCACTGTCCAACAAACATACTTTATAATTAATGGAATGAAAAAGATGTCGTTGGGATCTAGCATTCCAACGATATCCCGACTAGTTGATTACGAGGCCGCGTCTCGCTTATCGAATAGTCGTCGTTCCTCCTAATTTTTTCAAACCATCCAATCTCGTTCCTCACCTTCATGCGATAGAGTCTAAACCCTAGTATGTCTCTAAACCATACGTCAAATCCAAACTATTTTCCTAATTAAAATTACGAAAGAATGGAGTTCTTAGAGTTTCGCATTCCTTGAATTCTTGAGTAAACACTCTTGGAGCGTATGCTTTAGGTTGTGGATTACTCGACCTTTTCCTATATAAGATACATGCCCTAACTATTGGGACGAATACCTTAATTGTCCATTCAAATACACTTTCACAATTAATTGAGTGAAAAAGGTATCATTGGGATCTAGCATTCCAATGATATCCCGATTAATCGATTGCGAGTCTGGCATCTTATTTATCGAGTAGTCGTCATTCTCCCTTAAAATATTCACTCCAACTCTTTTCTCTCGCCCTCGTGCGATTGAAAATTTTCTCAAACATATTCCGTAATTATTTGAAAAAGGTGTTGTTGGAATCTAGCATTCCAATGATACCCCGATTAATTGATTGCGAGGCCGACGTCTTGTTTATCGAGTAGTCGTCATTCTCCCTTAAAATATTTAATCCAACTCTCTTCTCTCGCCCCCGTGCGATTGAAACTTTCTCAAACACTAATTTTGAAGTTAGTTGAATGAAAAAGGCGTTGTTGGAATCTAGCATTCCAATAATGTCCGATTAATTGATTGCGAGGCTGACGTCTCGTTTATCGAATAGTCGTCATTCTCCATCAAATTACATAACCAAACTCCTCTTTCTCGCCCCCGTGCGATCGAAACCTTAAACCTATTCAAATCTACCCTATTTTCAAAACCAAAATACTTAACCAATCAAACTCTACTCGCCCTCGTGCGATCCACAACTCATACACATTTTTCAAAGAACATTGTTTAGTCCCTTCTTCCGCGCATAACAAACTCGTGCTCCAGCCTCCCCTAGCGAGCAGACAAGCCAATGTTTAGCAGTTAGAATGCGACTTAAACACTTGTTCATTTTCCAAACCTTTTACCGTAGTTAGCCGAACTACGGCTGCTCTGATTCTTCATTCTCTTCTGAATGTAAGATACGTAGGCACAAGATTGCGATGATCTTGGCGAGCACAATCCCCCTTTTTATCCGTAGTCCCACGAACTACGAATGCTCTGATTTTCCACTTCCTACAAGTGAAAATACGTAGGCACAAGGGCCCCAATCCTTGGCGAGCATCCTATCTTAAAACCACCCATTCCCCCTATAGGAGAAACCTTAGAAGAAAACAAACAAGCATAACTAACTTTACTCTCGAATCGATCAAGAGGTTCCCGTTGAGTACAACGGACGTAGAGGGTGCTAATACATTCCCTCTGCGTAACCGACTCCCGAACCTAGAATATTGGTTGCGATGACCATGTTCTTATCTCCTTAAAGGTTTTATCGATATTTTCCTATTCCATCTTTGGAATGAATAAAGTTCGGTGGCGACTTTATTCGAACGTTTTTCCGCGTCCATCACGAGGATCGTATTTTTCGAGGTACGACAGATGGCGACTCTGCTGGGGACCATCATTGCCCTAATGCAAGAGAGAGACAAGCCTAACTTGACTCGATTCGAGTGTACTAACCTTTTGCTTAACTGTTTTCTTTATGTTTATTTTCTCCTATTGTTTATTGCTTGTTTTCTCTTTCTATCGTATGTTATTTATTATATCCGCCTGCTGGATTCAGGGATAACATTGCAAGTAAAGCTCTACACCCGAGCTTTGAAAAAAAAAGAGAGAAAATATAGCTTAGAATTGGTAGTGATTAGTGTTAGTCCCCAAGGACTCGCTCCTTGTGTGCCTAGCATGAAAGCTCCTCCAGAATAGACCTTTTCATAGATCCTATCGTAACGCAGCTAGCCTGTTACATGATTTGATTCATGAAGGGTCCATGACTCTGGGAACCACTCTTAGAACCAGTTTCTATATTGGTAGTCGTGTAATGTTAGTCACCGAGGACCCGCTCCTCGTGTGCCTAGCATGAGGACTCCGCTCAGGAGAGACCCTATCGTACTCTCGTTATAATACAGCTAGCCTGTTGCATAATGTTGATGCGATTGGTGTCCGTGATCCTGGGAACCTTATCCGTCAACATAGAAAATATCCCGTGAGTGGGTCTATGGGTAAAGAATCTAGAACTTTCCTGATATAGCCTACCGGTTAGGTTGCTTTGAGTTGCTTATGTTATCCTGGATCCTGTTTGTACCTGCATTGCATTCGCATATCGCTGCATCTGTGTTTCATTGCATCGTATATCATATTCCAAAACCAAAAAAGCCTATCCATCCTTTATCCATAATCCGCGGTTGATTTCCCGACACAAGTAATGAACTTGACTTAGTGCTGGAAGACCATGGAACACTTGAGACGGAATCAGTTTAAGCTAAGAAAAAACGAGAACAACGCATAAGG